AGAGTGAGAAACAGAAAAGGTGCAAAAAGAACAGTAAAATCACAGAACTGCGATGAACATCGGCTAAACATATACGCTGAACAACCAGCAGCAGCATCTACGAAGAACATCAGGAAGAACATGTGCAAAGGAAGGCCACGATGAACATCAGCCACACTCCGTTCTTGCGAACACGCGTGGAGAACATCCTAGGAACGTATATGGAACAAACGTCGGCAGAATCAGGAACGTGTGATGAACAACAATGACGTGAACCTGTATGAGGAACAACACCGAGCAGACCTACTAGAAACATGTTTGATGAACAACAGGCAGGGAAAGTAAAGGAAAAAGATTCTAAACACCAGGGGAACCTCACACACAATACGCAGAAAATCAGCCTGTGTCATTACTGGGAACATCTGTATGATGAGGAACATATGTTAGGAACTGCTGGAGATGAACTCTTCTGTCTTGTGTACGTTCGTTCGACTTTGTAAAGAACACAATTAGCAAAAATAAATTAACTTGATTAAAAACCAAATGCTGTTGCATGACAATAACTAGAAACGAGCAGTTGTCGCCAACTACATGTATCCCCCGTGATCTAGTATGAATGGAATATCTCTGTCAGGACGTAGAAGGCAGGTAAAGTTAAATAAGTCACAAAGACAAAGGTTTGTTAGACAACTGGTGTGCCTCAGATGTGCAAGTATATGGAATCTGGTTACCCTAGGAGGCCGAAGAAGAAATGTAAGTCGACGGTGAAGGTCAAACTAAGGTCAAGGGCAGTGGCGGTTTTGGTATGCGACAGACCTTCTCCCCAAGATGTGTAAGCATACCAAGTTTGGTCGCGCTAGGTCAATTAGGGGCCGAGTTAGAGAGCGGAAGGGAAATATGATCAAGGTCAAGGTAAAGGTGAAATAAAGGTTGCAGTGACCTGGTGGGCAGTTTTTACCCGATCTCGGATCATTTTCGAATTTGGCATGAAGGTGCGTTATGGTAAAGCGAAGACGCCAATCGTTTTGGCGTGGGTGGAGTCATCGTTGCCATGGTAACAACATTTTTGTGGAAATATTATAGAACCTGTAACTTGTGCTGTTTTTACCCGATTGTCATGGAATTTGGCACACAGGACCGATATAACATGTCCTATATATATTATATATATATGTAATATATATATATATTTGATGACAGTCATAAATTAAAATATAAATTTTAATACAAATATTAAATTTAATTTTTTATTTTAATTTTTAAATTTAAATTTTAATATAAATGTAATAAAAAATTTTAATACAAATATAGAATTTCATGTACAATCGGTAAAAAGTTGCGCAGAAAGTTACAGGTTCTAGAATATTTTGACAAAAATGTTCGATGGCACGCATGACTCGCCCACCACCCAAAAGAGATAGGCGGCTTCGCTTATTACGATAACGCACCTATGCGAAATTGAATATTTGTGTCGAGAAGAATTGGCAGCCGGAGTAGAGCGTTCACAAGAAAATCTCTGCGGCCCGGCGCGGCGTGCGGCGCGATGACCAAACGCCATAGTTCCCCACGAACTTCATTCAGGGCTATACGCAATATGATACTGCTATTGCTTCACTGCTACTGTCTACTGCGATGTGCTTGCTGTGCTGCTACTGCTACTCGCTAACTGCTACTGTTACTGAGCTAACGTGCTACTGTTACTGCTGCTGCTGCTGTCTGACTGCCCTACTGCTACTGCTACGCTAATGCCTGCTGCTGCTGCTGCATCTAGTTGCTACTGTTCTGGCACTGTGCTCTGGCTAAAACTGCTGCTGCTGCTACTACTGCTGCTCTGCTACGCTAGCTACAATGCATGCTACTGCTACTGCTAATCTGGCTTAGACTACTACGTTGCTGCTATTGCTACTGCTAGCTGCTATGACTGGCTACTGGCTACGCTCTGCTGCTGCTGCGTACTGCTGCTGCTGCCTGTGGCTGCTACTGCTACTGCTACTGCTACTTGACTCTGCTGCTGCTGCTGCTGGCTGCTGGCTGCTGCCTGCTGCTGCTACTCCTACTGCTACTGCTACTGTTGCTACTGCTACTGCTACTGCTATGCTGCTACTGCTGCTGCGCTGCTACTGCTACTGCAACTGCTACTAATAATAATAATTACTTATTAACTCTGGCACTGAAACAAAATTGATACATGCAATGCACATGCACATAGACGATACCATACAACTACACAGTACACCGCAGTACGACAATATACTAATATAAGCATTGTACAGAGAGTTAATAAAACAAATTTATAGTGTCTTTATAAACTCCTGTATACTAAAGGCGCGAAAGACTAGGGGAAGGGGGAGAGAAAACTAGGGTCCGCGGGCGGGCGTGTATTTTTTACCATACGACTAATTAATGCGTAAAATCGCCACTACCACACATAGACGGCATTTGGTTCTATGTTTTAAGAAGCCGAGTCGGTGTACAGTAACTACAGTTATGTGACAGTTAACTGTGCATTGTCAGGTTAAAACTTGATGTACTGTCAAGTACAATGCCTTCGGTACTGTAAATAATACACGCGCCAAATGATTTCTTGACGTTCGATTCCCGCACTGGCAAAACTTTTATTGGCTGGTGCGAATTGAAACGGGAGAAGCACAAACGGGGATTTCCAGCCAAACGGCGCACGACAACAGGGGAGTTTTCAAGGGCGAGCTTTCCCAAACAGGGGGTGCACGCGGCGCGCGGCCGCGTTTGCCGCAACAGTAGGGAGAACCGCTTGATCGGCAAGTATAAGTGTATAATGCACTTAATATACTCAAGATATAGGGCCTACTGTAAAGCTATCTCTGGCGCGAGCTTTCTACTGCCACCCTACCCCACCCCACCCCAACAATCCTAAACCCAGCAGCACCCCCTAGCCCCCCCACCTTACCCAACCAACCTCAGCCCTACCCACCCCACCTTGCCCCAATGCCAAACCCAACAGCCCCCTACCCACCCCCACCTGCTAACCACAGCATCCTCCTAACCCACCCAAACCTACCCACACGCCCCACTCCACCCCCACCTGCACTCAATCTAACCACAGCCCCCCCCACCCAACAGCACCCCTACCCCACAGCCAACCCCCTACCCACCACCACCCCACCCTACTACCACCCTACCCCAATCTGAATGCCACATCACCTCCCCCCCCCCCCCGCCCGCCTGCCACTCCGCCCGCCATGGTGGCAACGTCACGTACCGATGGAACTGTCGAGCGGCTGCGCGAGGCGTTAAGTTGCTGTTATATGCGCGGCGGCGGCCGCACACATACTCGATAGAAGAACGTGCGTAGTTTCTCCTCCTCTCCTATTGCTAACGCAGAGCGCAGATTTCTCGAGGAGGTAGCTGCGGATGATGTAGCCGCGTCGACAGACGCCCGAACGCGTCGAAGACACGTACACTATTGCTACCCCTCGCGATGTTACGCGCGCGTAGACCACGCGACATGACGCTATACCCTCGCGGCCATGTTAACGCCCGCGCGCAATGCGCGCTTGCTCCGAGGAGGTGTGCGAGATGTACCCCGCGGTCAACGCATGCCCTGAACGCCGCGCAGACACGTACATATGCTTACCCTCGCACATGTTACGCTGCGCAGACACAGCACGAACATATCGTACCCTTGCGCATTGTTACGCGCTCACACAAGACACGACGTACATATGGCTACCCTCGCGGCATGCTATGCGCGCCACAGCAGACACGTAATACGCTACCCTCTCGGCCATGTTTACGCCGGCACGACACAGACACGTAATATGCTACCCTACACGACATGTAACGAGCGAGAAACGCGCAGAATTTTGCAGGGACTCCTGCAGCAATACTTTTGCATACTGCAAGCGGGCAAATCCAGAAAAGCATACCTAAGCGCTCCCTCGCAGCTCTCTTACACGCCATACAGACACACCCTCGCTACTCAGTAAGCATGAGCGCCACACCCTCACCACGCATCTGTTCTATAACACACAACAGCCCGGCCAACCCCCCTCGAACGCGTCCGACATATCAACGATTCCAACAATCAACTGATAGACAGATCAACAATCAATGATCAACAGACATCAACGATCAAGTGACGACAGATCATCAATCAGACGATCGAACAGATCAACAATCGACAGATAAAATCGAAGATCAACGATCATGATCGACAGACCAAGCGATCGACAGAATCAATGATGCAACAATGCAACAGAATCAATGATATCAACGCATCAAGATCAATGACCGACAGATCAATGAATTGGCCAGAATCAATGATCAATGATACGACAGATTACTGAATCGAACCGATCAACGTCGACAGATCAATGAATGAAAAGAACATAGAGATCTATGAGCTTCTCGGTACTAGCGTGGCGCCCCCTGGCGCACAG